GAAATCATAATTTCAAATAGAGCCTCAATAATTTTTACTGTAGGGGAGACGGTCTCCAGAAGCCATATTAAGCCAGATAGCACTTTAGGATGTGCTATATAAACAATCAATCTGTAAAAAAATATATTTGTAGTGTTATATGAAACATACATCGTAAACTTACTTAAAGGATTCAAGCTTTTTAGATAAACTGATGTGCTCATAAATTTTTCAGTCTGGTTAGGGAAGTGTCATTTATCATCTGATTTTTTGTATATAGTAAAATTTCTCCTCCTTCAAATAATTACGATTATGTATAAAAATATACATGTGATCTATTAGCTTGATATTTTGGCACCCACCCCCCTGCTAAAAAAATCAGATGATAAATTACACTTCCCTTATCATTACCATATTCTGATCCTATCAAATTAAATAGGTATATCTGTGCAAATGAATCCCACCCAAAGCGCATGCTAGTCTTAAACATTAAAACCAATTAAATAGTATAATTCAAGATGATTTTGTTAGATAGCATGTATAGTTAATCAAACCAAGGATAGAATCTACGCCTTCAACGTCGCCGATAACCTTGTATTTTTGTTGTCTCAAATTAGGTTCAAATTTATAAATCTAATGTATGAATTAAAAAAGTTAATTTGACGTTTAATTTTTATAATATAAACATTTTACATACAATTGCAAGGTTTACTCCACTTGCAATCATGTAAATGAACCGTGAAGTTCCAACGTAAATTTTTGGCCAGAACTCGATGTACCTTTTCATGATCATTATCCTTTTTAACGCACTTTCTTTGGATAAATTAAAAGTTCTACCATTAACGTTTCCAGAATTTCCCATAAACATTGGATTATGAAGGTGAATTGAAGGTACAGTTGATCTACACTTATTTGGTGAGAAAATGGAAAAATGAAAAAAAATGAGAAAAATGATAATTGGTTCGAAAACCTAAAAAAAAACTCGAAGAATTAACAATATCTAACTCCATTGCACCCTAAAAAAAATCACAAAAAAATCCCAACATGTCAGCTTCTAGCCTTGAACCCAGACAACCTTCTAGGCCACCTGAGCCCTGTGGAGCCAATGTTAGGTCAGCTTCTAGCCTTGAACCCAGATATTCCTTCTAGGACCTGGGCCCTAACATTAGCTTCGTGGTTAATGTTGTTAGTCAAAATGCTTAATTTAGTCAACCATTTAGGCAATTAGTGTCTAAATATATTTCGACATGACATTATTTTTTTTCGACATGTCAAAAGTCTAAATTTGACTAAATGCCTAAATAGTTGACTAAATAAATATTATGTAACTAAATGTCTAAATGGTTGACTAAATATGAAAATGAAACTTCAATTATATAAATTCTGGATGATTAAAGTCACATTTCTCTTGGTGTCACTAATTTATTACTGTGATAATCAGTATAGTTTAAGAAAATGCAGTGTTTGCAAATCTTTGTTAGGGTCTTTCAAAATTAACATATTTTTTAAGAGATAAAGATCAAATTTGGAATTATAAATATCAATTAAACAGTGTATTTGGCAATACATGTTTATATAGTTTAAAAAGTAATTAACAACCTCTTATGCTTATTACACTG